ATTTTTTATGTGAAAAATTTAGGTTGAATCAAAGTTGAGTTTTAGGTAAATCAATCTCGATCTAAACCGATATATATATATATTATTAGTTATTTAATTTTATATTTATATATATGTATTTAATTTTATTATATTAATAAAATTAGTAATTTTTCCTTTAATTTAAGATATGAATTTAATAAAAATACTATATTTATGTATAATTAAGATGTAAAATAATATTGATAGTACCTATGGAAGTGATGATCTGGATGACCAGGTGTTGGGATTTGGTGTTTATGATAAGCGGTCAACGGGGTTGGGATTTTTGGCTTAGTGTTCGGGTGCAGTGATAGTCTCCGCTTCCCCAAATATGACGGTGCACGGTGGTAGAAATGGCTAGATATTGAATATATTACCAAAATACATTTCTTTAAAGGTGTTTATTTAAGTGTTTTTTTATAAAATAATCGATAAAAATGCATATTTGCATTTGTGTTAAATAAATAAAGTTTAAAAATATAGAAATAGACTTTGAAATGAAACTAGCAAGAATAACTGGCAGTCAATTGCTTTTTTCACATTGTTTAAAATTTTGTTTAGGACAATCAGATGCCCTAAGATTGACAGTAGAATGCTCTGCAAGATTACGTGTTTTGCGAGAAATTTTGCTTTGTGAGAATATTTATTTGTGAGATTTGAAAACCATGGTTTTAGCTTTTGAATTCAATCGTTAAAAATAAAAAAAATTTTATTCCTTAGATATGATATTTTGTTTCAAAAATGATGATTTTTTACCTAAATAATATATATTTAAAAAAAAAATTAACACCAATTGAGACTTATATATCTATTTATCTATTACACTACTTTATGTGATAATAGAAAGATAAATATGTGTTTATGTGATTGAATATTTAGGTGCATGTTAATGGTTTTGATAATTGTTTTTAAAATAACGTGGACTGAAGGTTTTCAAGAAAGTATATATTTTAATTGGATTATCATTTATAGTTAAGTTTTCAAATTTTATAATTTGTTTTTAATCATCAACATTTATTATGTTATTATTTTGATCACACATTCGTTAAAAAATAATTAGATTAGGATTTATTCCATGTCATTGTACTTTGTTCAAATGGTATATTTATGTCGTAGATAACCAAAACATTATTTTTCAAAATTAGATGAATAAAACAAACATTTTGAAAAGTTAACTTATAAAAAAAAAAAGGTAATTTACTTTAACTTCTATGGTTAAATATAAGTTGCATTCAGTTAAATTAATAATGAAGATTTTCATTTTGACGTCTTGGTTGTCTCCTCCATTTTTTTAAAAAATGAGTTTTGATTTTTAATTTTTTTATTTCTTACCAAACCATTTAAATAATCGTATATTTGGTAGACATTATAAACCAAGTTTTACAAATTCTCTTTTAGCTAAAAACTTATTTAAAAATTATTTATCATATATTATGATTAAAAAAAATTCACATAAATATCATGTAATTACAAAATATTTGCAAAATTCCATAAACATGTCACATCATTAAGCTCAACATCAATTACCGTTTTCAACGGTCATGTCACTGTCATAAATTAAAAATCCTGTTAGTGATTGGATAGGATTTTACAATTTATAAAAGTTGAGGGATTCAATTTGTAAAAATAAATTTATAGCATTAAATCCTCTTCTTCACTTATTTACAAGAACCAATAGTATAATCTGAGCTTTAATTTATTTAATAGTTAGCATTTAATGCAGGAAAAGATGTAAAATGTTCTGTTCCTAGTCACTTGATAAACGTCAAGATTCAACGAGTTTTCTTCGACCGAAAAGGAAGAACACCTCTACTTGTGCGTATATATATACATTATACTTGTGTATACATATATATATATATATACACATTAATTTTTTTGTGAAAAAATTAATCCTATCTTTACAGACTATATTGGTGATTTTTATGGAAAACGTGCTTTAGCTACCTACCAGGATGTTGGTTCATTGGACAATCTTATATACAGCAGTACCTTTTATCTTTTGATCCAAATTTGCAATGCCCTTAAGATTCTAAGTTTTAAAAAGGAACGATCCAGCAAACGATGACTCGGAAAATGATGATGATGATGATGATTTGGAGCTTGGGTCCAAGGAAGGGTTTATCTCCGAGGTCCCCAAGAACATTCGTCAAGGAAATGAAAAAATCTATACTCCTCAATTAATTTCAATAGGCCCTCTTCGTTTCAGAAAAACAATTTCGGCTAAAATGGCAAAGTATAAATTGAGCTATCAAAAGAAATTTTGTGAAAGGACTTCGACTAAGACAATGGAAAATTTTTGGAGCTTTGGTGAGCACAAGGAAAAAGCAATTCTCAACTGTAATGAAGCAACTCTTTTGTAGGGATGATATTTTATGTTGCACTCTTCATCGTCGAGCTCTTATTGAGGAACTGTGAGAAGGAAAATGCAAAAGAGTTGGGAATTAAAGACTTCTTATTAAAAGGAACGTGGTCAGCTGGTCTTTGGAAGGGACTTGCTCTTACTTGAAAATCAGATCCCTTTGTTTGTGCTTGAAGAACTGTATAAGTTATACTGTAACTTCCCTCGTGAAGACAAATTTGATTCTTGTGCTGCCTCTGCCTCAGCTTTTCCCTTTCTTTATCATGCTTGCCTCTACTTTGATCTTCCATGGGATAAAAGGTTCGAGGATAAAGAATTCCTACACTTCACCGATTTGTTAAGATGCCATCTGGTCAAAAATTCCGCCTCAAATTCAGATCCATCCATGGCCCCAAAACGAAAAACTGAAACAGTGTATAGTGCGACAATGTTGCATGACGCTGGTGTTGAGCTTAAAGCTGTAGATGATCAAAGTGCAGGCTGGCTAGATATAGAATTTGAAGGGAAAAAGAGCTTAAAATCTCCAAATTGAAGTGCACTCCAACACTGGAACCTTACATTCGTAACGTGATGGCCTTGGAGATGTGCCACTATCCAGATGAAACCTATGTTTGTGCTTACATAGAACTAATGAATTATCTCATTAGAACTGACAAAGATGTAGATTTGTTAATGGAAACGGCGGTTTTAGGCAAAGATGGTAAAAACGAGGGAATTATCGTTAGCAGAATAAATCCCAGTGAAGCATTGGCAGGTATGATTAAGAAACTTATGCAGGGAGTTGGCGAGCCCGCTGCTTGCTACCGGCAAACAGGGAATGGACTAAACAAGTATTACAAAAATGCTCGGAAGCACATAATAGCAACATTCTGCAAGGAGAATCTAGCAATTCTGAAGCGTGTGTTTTTCACCAATCTTTGGCGAGGAACTGGAACTGTCGCTGCTTTTATGGTGGTCGCGCTTACTCTCATTCGAACCTTGTTGGCATTTCTTAAATGAATTTTTTTTTTAACCACATGTAACGAGTTAAAAAAATTATTTTGAAAAAAATATTTAAAAATAATCTTTTAGAATTTTTAAAAAATATTAATTATTATTTAATTAAAATAAAATATGATAATTTTTAGATTCTCAACATGCAAACTCATCACCAAAATATTACACCAACAAATTAAAGGCAAAATCTTGACATTTTTATCAAGAAAAATTATTCCATGCACTTTTAGACTCTAGCAATGGGAATAACGGTTGTCACATGCACTTTTAGGTATATTAAAAAGTAAAAAAAAAAAAAAATCATATAATAAAAAATTATTAATATGGTCATTATTAATACTGTTTGTAAATTTTAAAATCTTCACCAACTATATATAGAAAAAGAATTCTTGTTATCAATTGTTCTTAAATCAATATTTAATAAAAATGTTAGGACCAAATTTAAGAAATTTGGAGTAAAAGGACTAAAACAACAAAATTGAAATAATAAAGAGGATCAAATTAAAACTTTAACTAAATTTTATTGCACAATTAATATACTAATTACGAATAATCACACCTTACCAGATATATCAAATTAAGAAGTATATATATACACAAACCATAAGAAATTACTAATTACAAGCATAAGACATTAATTATATCTTACAGGGAAGCCAAAATCTTTTTTAGTTTTCAGTACTTGATAGATCACTTGGCTTCACTTCACAGCACCCTTCCTTCAGTCTGCAAATTAAGCAAAAGAAACATTGCACTTACTGATGTACATAAGAAAGAACTGAAAATATAGCTTGTAGCACTGCAAGTAGGAGCAAGACAAGTGCAGAGAGAAAGGAAATGGGCGACTAGGGCGAGTTGAAATAATCTTTCTTCAATGATGCCTTCCATTTGTTCCATCTCTTCTGGCAATATTGCTCGTTCACCTTAATTACCAATTATCTTCTCATAGTAGAAGTCATTTGACGAGTAAGTAAAGTCGAGAATTTTGTTAAACGTTTGGGGCAACTGCTTCATCAAATTATCAATAATTCCATGTTTGCGGAGTATTTGTATGTCCTTGCCTGAGTTGATGAGCTTACCCATGAACTCCACGTAATCAAAAGCGTACGTAAGTTGGTTCCGAACTTGGGATAAATGGTTCATAGGCCAAGAAATTACGCTAGATACGCTCTGTATCATCGTCAAGGTTGGAATCTTCAGCTTCGCATCTTTTGTAAAGTCTACATCGAACAAGCTTTTAACTTGCTCCTCTTCCCCGTTCTTAACTTTCCCCTCCTTACCTTTCTTTACGAAGTTGATTCCTGCCTCTTCCAGCTGTGTTGCACAGCGTATGAATTTCCATGAGCCTTTTTCCTCCAGCTCTGTTGCACTCCACAGCGTTTGAGTCACGCGAATATTAATATCTTTGCTTTTGCTTCTGCTTCTGCTGCTTTAATAAAAGCCTTGAGCTGTTCTTTTGCGTTTGAATAAGTATTGCTTCTGCTTCTACTTGTAATTTTGGATAACCCAAGAATGTCAAAAGAAACTCATTTGGCAAAGGAAAACGGAGAAGGAAAAGAATCCTAATTTTTTGGAAGAGGATTAAAGGATTTTTTTTCCTTTCAATTGTGAAATTTTGGAAGATTTTTTTATTTTGTTGGAATGACTTGTCATTTACTTATGATGATGTGGATTACATGTGTACAAAGTAATTTATTTTGAGAATTAAATTTAAAATTACTCTAGTTTTGGAAATAAGATTAAAGAGCAACTGCACATAGGAAAAAACTGTTTAAACTTTCCTAAGTTTTTTTTTTTTTTTAATGAAATTGTAAGTGTAAAAAAGTTAAAGTTATAATTAGTCTATGAAATTAATACTAAAATAATATATTGACCAAGTCTTCAACAACTTTCAAATGTGCTTAGTCCAACATTATTTGATAAGACCCAAATATCTTTTGCCACTTAATAAAAATCTTTCAACATTGAGAGATGTGTACAATTGGAAGAAAATTTGCCAATATGACATTGATTGTCCAAAACATAAAAAATTGGGGTAAAGTCAATGCTCACAATTTCAAGGGAAAAACCTATGAAAACGATTGATAGCAATAATATTTGGGTTGAAAGATAAAAGGGCGTTGCATATTCATCAATCCCTTGAGAAAATATCAGAGTGATCATGGCAACAGAAAGCGCTGTAATTAAAACATGTGATTTTTGACAGCACAAGTAAAACAAATTCTATTGCTAGGAAACCCAGAGAATAAGCATTAATCCATCGAAGCAATTACACAATTAATTAATACACGTGCAAACAGCTATCTAATTAATACACGTACATGGATGTTGGCAGCAGTCAAGTATTTATTTTATTATATGAAATAGCTCATTAACATGAGCTTTTAGTACTTCCCCTGCCTCCTATCAACCATGGAAACTTAAGAAAACTTAGACTTACTGATGAACATAAGAAAGAACCGAAAATAAAGTTTGTATCGTGGTAAATAGGAGCAAGACAACCGCAGCAAGAAAGGAAATGATCGACCAGGGCGAGTTAAAATAATCTCTCTTTAATGTTGCCTTCCATTTGTTCCATTTTCTCTGGCAATGCTCGTTCACCTTACCAAATACCTCCGCATAGTAGAAGTCCTCGGACGAGTAAATGTTTTTGCCAAGTTTGTTAAACATTTGGGCAACTGCTTCATCATCTCCTAACCAATTATCAATAACTCCACAGTTACAGAGTAATTGCACATCCTTGCCTGTGTTGATGAGGTTATCCATGAACGTCACATAATCACAAACGTAAGTTGGTTCCGAACTTGGGATGGATTGTTCGTAGGCCATTAAATTTCGCAAGATACGCTCCGTATTATCGTCAACGCGGAAGGTTGGAATCTTCAGCACTTTTGTATCATTTGTAAATTTTATATCGAACAAGCTCTCCACCCCTAATTTATTGCTCTTATCTTGCAACTTCTCACCAAAGAAATTGATTCCTGCTTCTTCCAGCTCTGTTGCACTGCGTATGAATTTCCATGAGCGTTGGGATTTTGGATCTTTTCCTTCCGCTTCGGCTTTTTGTTTAAAATCCCTGTGGAGATCTCTTCCTCGAAGTGAAGGAAGGCAACTATCATGTACTAAGCCCAGAAGATGCTTGATATCTTTCGTGGCAGTGGGACAGTACTTTTCAGACCACATCTCCGGTCCGTGATCCGGACCTTTTGTGAATAAGGAAAGAGCCAAACGACCGAACTCGTCGAGAGCATCTTCACCCTTTGACGTTATTATGCGATATATCTTGAAGAGCACGAAGAAAGGAAGCTGATTTTCGAACAGTAACAAATCATACAGAATGTCAGTTTGAATCCGTCCCAGTTGGCAAAAATCCTCTTCTGGGTACTCCCCCAGCATTAGCTGAACAATAAAGCATCCATCAAGGACCAGCATTTCTGCAAAGTCATCAGAGTCAAAGCTATCAAAGTCACCAGAGTCAAATCTATCCAAGTCATAGACATCAGAGTCAACGCCATCAGAGTCATCTTTATAGCATTTTTTAACTCGTTCTGCTATTGATTTCATGGCCCCTACAAGTACGCTGGGATCAAGCTTGGTTTTCTCAATAAGCCTACTGAAGCAATTCTTTTTAACAACTTTCATTGCCTTCGAGTTTTCCATATAACGGAAACGGAAATTGGGACCAACTGAAATCACATATGGTTCATAGGCTTCTGCATTTACTTCACGTAATCGATCAGGCACTCTCCTAGTACTCCAACTATTTGCGTCTACAATTTTAGTACTCAATTCACCTCCTTTCCTCTGTTAAAAAGGTGGCACATTCAGTGAATTTTAATCAGCAACAATGTTATGAAGTGCATTTTTCAAGATTTGAAATTATTAGAATAATTGTTTTAAAATTTAAGTAAACAAAAAGTTTCTTTTTTCTTGAAAATAAATTAAGCAAGCTTCTATTCACATCCCAACAATTATTGTTTATACCCTAATTTTTTGTTTACACAAATATTCTTATATCTAATTACTTAATTAACCTTTGACATAGTACTTTTCGATCTTACACCCATTTCTACTCCTTTTTTTCTTCCTCTTCTTTTTTACTCTTTTTTTTTCGTTTTTCTTTTTTTTTTCCCTATATAAACATCCCCTTTCATCTAAAGATTTTTTCGAAATTCATTATATTTTAAATTTTAATTTGATTGTAACTTTTAATACAAAAAATGAATTTTGGATCCAAGAGTTAAAAGCCCAAATTTTAGTTTTAATTTTGTTTTAGATTTAGATCTTGATTTTAATTTTTTTTTTAGTTTTAATTTGGTCATAAAAAAAAAAGTCAGAAAAGCCAAAACAGAAAAAGTGGGATTCTTTGTGAAGATCTTGATTTTTCTTAAGATTTTGAATTAATGACAGAGACATCTTCAGAAAGAAATCTAGAGTTAAACCAAGATCAAATCTGTCAAAAGCAAACAATCGGCAGAAAATCAAGCAAAACACAGATCACGAGCAAGGACCAGAAATAGAAATCAATGGAAGAAGCAATTCAAGCCAGAAGCAAGAATCAACAAAAAAGAAGCATTCAAGCCAACCAGCAATTCGACAGAAGCAGAGTATCACATTCGGGCAATATAGCCAACAGAAGCAGACCAAGACAAGCAAAATCAAGTCTGCAAATCAGGCATCAGGCAACAAGCAAGAAGCAATAATCAAGAGCAATTCGACGCAGATAGAAATTTGGCATTCAAGTTTGATTTTCTAGTCAACAGCAGTTTAACAAAGGCAACATAGAGCCAACAGGCAATTCTACCGAGAAGCCTCTACCCAGAAGCAAAGAATTGAAACAAGTCGACCCAGAACCGAACCCTTCCACAAACCGAGCAGGAAATCATCAACAAGCAGAAATAGAATCGGCACCCAAACAGAATCAATACATACAGCCTCAATGATAAAAAAAAAAAAAAAAAATCAGCAACAACGAACAGCCCCAGCACAGCAAACAATTGTCAAAATAAAAAATAAGGACCCAACCCAGAAGTTAAAGCCGCAAACTCGACAACCCAAAAAAAATTGATTTTCACAGCAAAACCAGTCCACCCAAAGACCTTCGATCGACAACCACAATCCACGATACACAATTATCTGAAAATAGCACAATCAAACACAAACAGTAAAAAGGAAAAGGAAATTTCCGGGCGGGGAATTCTTCTTTGAGGTCTCGACTTGGGTTTTACTTTTTTGGATATTGTTAGAGGACAGGAAGAAGGTCGTCTGGGATAGCGAAGGCAGGCGGCTAATTCAGGCAATTGCGGAGAGTCTCTTGAAAATCTACCAAAGGAAAGAGGCGGTGGTCTTCAATCAGTTTCAAGTTTTGTTCTCGGTGTTTTAAACAGAGTTATTTATTTAATGTATTATATTTTTTTATATATTGATTTATAATTGATAAAATTTATAATTTGGAAAACATGTATATTTTGTTAATATATTACTTGCATATATATATATATATTAATAATATAATAAAATGTATTCTATGAAAAAATTTTAAATTTAATATATATTAATTTACTCCCTCCAAATCAATTATTAATATCCGTCACTACATACATGAAGCTAATTTAGGTGAGCGAAAATAAAGTTATTTGTGGTTCGTATACAGCAGGGCATTTCAATTACCTCGATGGGAAATTTCAGAGTCCGAGCCTTCTCCGGCGACGGCCGACCCTTCGGCGGCGGCAGCGACATTTCAGTTTCATCTAAGTCGTTGTCTATTGGAATGCTGACGTTATATCTGTAGCCATTACCTGGACAAAAACATGGGATATACAATACATTAATACGTAATTGTGTTTAAAAAATAAAGTGTGAAATATTTTATACATTGACATTTTAATTTCACAAACAAAATTAAAATAATGACATATTTTTTTATATATTTAAAAAATTTATTGAAAAAATAAATAAAATATGTATCATTAAATTAATATCGTTTGTAGAATTAAAATACTCAAATGTTAATGTATCAAAAATTTCTTTAAATTTAATTAATTTCATTTTTTACACTTAAAATTATGATAAACCAAATAGGGTCAAAGCCACAAAAATACCAAAAATATTCTTAAATTATTTTAAATTTTAAATAAATCTTATACTTTTATTATATCCAAATAATCTTTTGTAATGGGAATATTACCCAAATAAACCGTGCTTCACTTAATTAATTAATTTATACGATGCAGAGCAAACTCGTGAATTAAATTCAAGAGTTGATTACATACAAAAAAGATTTTAGCAACCCATTGCGCCTAAAATTAATATCAAATTAATCACATGTTGTCTTACCTAAACTTAATCAAAGATAGTTTTTATTTTTTTTATTAATTTTAATATTTAAATATTAAAAAAAATCTTTAGACTTTCACAAAAAAAAAAAATTTCTCACATCAAAAGTATTCAAGAAACACTTGCCATTCATTTAAAGAAGTTCTATCGTTTGATTCATTAAATATCTTATGGAAAATCACATTCTTTTTATTTATTTACAAATATTGTTATACAAAGATTCTATCAAGATATCATGCAATAATATTATAATTAAAACATGCAAAATAAATCATACAAATATAATAAATCACACCAAAATCATGCAAAGATCATAATAGAAATATCATGTAATAAATCATAAATCATACAAAAATAATCATGCAAGAACATCATGCAAATATTATAAATCTTGCAAATAATAAATCATACAAGAACATCATGCAAATATAATAAATCATAAAAATAGATTAACAATCATACAAAAATAAATTTATAATCATGCAAAAATATAAAAAAGTGCCAACATACAAATTATAAATATCTTACCAAAGTTTTTTTTTTCTTTTTTTCTTTTCCTTATCACTTTTTAATTCAATCAACAATTGAAAATAAGTAATAATAAAAACAAAAAAAAAAAGAAATAAAATAGGAAAAGAAAAGAAAAGGAAAAGGAAAAGGAAAATAAAAAAACTTGCGATTTGAGTTAGGTTAGAATAGGTTGGTGCATGGATTTGCTTTGGATCACACATGAATCCTAGCCTTTTCAAACAATGTCATCTAGCTCTTACATAAAAGTAAAAATATCAAAGCTTTCCTCAAATCTCTTGTTCCCCTTCTTTCTCTAGTTTTTAAATCCTCTGCCTTTTATCTAAAACCAACTACAAAACTCAACAAATCCTAGAAATTAGGCAAGAAACCTAGATTTTGGCATAAAAAAATTCAAATGGCGCAAAAAAACTCAAACGGTGCAAAAAAACCCATATTCCAGCCATTGTGCAAACTTCTAACCATTATGAAATTCAACAGAAAAACTTAAACCCATTAGAAATTTCAAGCTTAAACTCAAAAAAACAAGAAACTCAACCCAAATTCCAAAACAATCATAGAAATTTAAACAAACCCAGAATTCCTTTAAAAAAAAAAACAAAATCTAAAATCAAATCAAAACCCAAAAATAAAAACCAAATTCAAGAAAAATCCTAGAATCAGAAATCCAAACTCATATTAATTTTTAGAAACCATTAGAAAATTGAACCAAAACTTATAATCCAAAATTGAAAACTAAAGGAATTTTTTAGTGCTCTAATTGCTGAAATTTTCTAACTTTTTGCTTAATTACTTCTTGTTTATTGCTTCATGCTTTTGATCACATATTAGAGTTCTTTATATAAGGATTAAACCCCTTTCATATTGGAAAACTTTAAGTCCTACTGAATCTAGGATTTCACTTGGGATCTTATTCCTTTTGCAATATTGCCTTTTTCAATGACTTAGGGACCAAGAATTTCTATAAGCAAACAACTATTAAATTTCAAAATCTAAAACCAAGGACTGGTGAATATGCCAATTTCCCTTTGCAAACAATCCCACTTTTTTTTTAGCTTTTTTGACCTCTTTTTTTTTTACTTTGTTGACTCTGAAGAAACTAAAATTAGACTAAAAATAAAAATAACATTTATTTTTAGACTTTCAAATGTCTACAATTATCCCTCTTTGTACGTTTTTTACAAAACAAGAAATGTACGAAGATAAAAAAATAACTATTTTATTTGAATCAAGAAAAATCAAAAAAGAAAATCACAAAGGCTCCTCTTCCACAAAGGCTTTAAAACTTTCAAAAGATGAAATGCTCTCCCTCACCAAAAGCTTTGAAACTTTCAAAAAATAAAATGCTTCCCCCCTCCACCAAAGGCTTGAAACTTTCGAAAAGTAAAATATTTCCCCACCGAAGGCCTTGAAACTTTGGAAAAATAAATGAGATAATTGTGGTTTTCAAGATCATGCTCTGAGGTAATCATTATCCTCTTTGGAAAAAAAACTTTTTCTTAACATAGGCATTAAAACTTAAAAAAAAAAATCTTATCTTAAAGTGAATCCTTTGATCTCATCTAGTTCACCATTGACCATCTTCCAATGTCTCTTCTCAAAATTATTTCAACATCTACTTTCTTCTTTTTTTCCAAGCATACACAATGAATGAAAAAAATTTTCAAGACTCTTCTTTATGTCTTCTCTCCTTTTCAATTTTCTATTATACTCTTTTTTATCTTCTTTAGAATTGGCCCGCAAATGTATCAACCAACTTATGACTCAAAATTTCCTTTCACTAATTTCATCATTTGATTTCAATATTTGAATTTTTTTTTCATTTGTAAGTTAAAGGATCCACATCCTTTTAAACTTGTTTCATCATTGACATTTCATTTTTGATCTATCCTAATCACTTTTAATTTTTTTGAAATAATGCAAAGATATTTCATATAAGTCATTTATTTATTCATCATCATTCCAATTTAATGACAAATGAAATCCATCACATTTCCTTAAGGAATAAATGGTGAAGAACAAGAAAAAAAATTAAAGAAAGGATATTCATTATAAAAACAAGTCTGGCAAAGAATAAACAAACAAAGAAATCATTAAATTACCAAGATAAGTGCTTGGAAAGGTTCACCACATATAAGATAATGAACATTCGGACAATTCTAAAGAAATTAATTCTGAATTCTTTTTTAAAAACTCATTCTACTAATATTTTTTATCTTTAAGCTCTTCAATCCAAGTATTATCTATACCCTATGAAATCCTCAATTAAAGCTATTTTTTAAGTCTTCATCTCAAATATATCCCTTTTTACTTAAATCACCCTTTTTAGATTTTCAATTTAATTAATATTTTACCAAAATCAAACAAAATTACATGCCATTTATCTTTAAATTGAAGTTTAATGGCTTGATTAACTTCAGAACTTGTGATTTTAGATTTTGGATTAAAGTTTTTAGGATGATTTTTAGGGTTAGGTTTTGAAGGTTATGGTTGAAGAAAAATGGAAAAGTAAAAGGAAAAATGGGTGTGAGGGGTATTTAGGGAAAATTAGAAATGTGGTTAAAGGTGGAATTAGTAAAAAAAAAAAAATAGATTTTAAATTTGGAGTATAAATAGTAATTGAATGTAGAGAATAATTTTTGAGGTATGAATAAAAGCTCCCATCATATAATTTCTTGTCTAAATAATCATATAAGAATGTCAAATTTCAAATACGATCTTAATTTACATAAAATTTGGTAACACTTTTAGTTTTAAAGTTCACCATTTCTTGAATATGCTAAAACGAGAAAATAATTATTTTACTTTTTTTATGTAAGCTCTCATAATTTGTATTCAAAATTTTTTTTATTTTTTTATTTGTACTCAAATAAAATTTTATTTTTATGTTATTAATCAATTAAAAATATTCATTTAAAATAATTATTAGTTATCTAAATCTCTATTATACTTTAGATCAAGTATTGATTTAATTTTATAATTCACAAATTAAAGAATCTAAAAAGTTAAATATTTTAAATTTGATAAAAGTGAACAATCAAATTCAAAATTAAATCACGAAATAAAAATTTCAAACTTTAAAATCCCAAAAAGATATTTTTATCTTAATAAATTTCTTCATAATTTTTTTATTTGTTAAACTTCTTTAAAATTTAAAATCACAATATCACTTACTATTTTTTTAATTTGAAAGATATTTATCAATTTGAATTAAATAAAATTTATTTCAAAACTCACTCTTTTTAAATTATAAAAAAATATAATTTTTAAATTATAAAAAAATAATAATAAAAAATCTTGTACATCGGTTAAAAAAGCTAGCATAGAATAATAAACCAGCAACAGCCCGCAATCACTTATCACAACCCAGAGACAATGGACCCAGTAGACACTGTCGAAATAAGCAACAGACAAGTTGGTGGTATTAGTGAAATGTAATTACCATTTATCTTTACGATCGTATAAAACTATATCAAAGTTAAATCCATTAGCCCAATTTGGTGGTATTAGTGAATATCTTGAGTACTTGAGGTTGAGGTTCACTTATGAGATTCTTGAGAATCTTTCCTCTAGCTTGTCTTTTTTCAGATATTTTCAGTTAAGGAAAGTCTCTTTAAACATTATTGTTTGCATGAGATATGAGTTAACTTATCATACTAGGAAATCCCCTATTCCATCCTGCCTCAATTCAAGAGATGGAGTAGAATAAGGACTTCACTTTTCCTTGATATAGAATTAGTGAACGAGGAATAGGACATAAATTAGCTTTAGAGATTCGATATATCATATCGTTTTTTTATTTTATAATCGATTCCTAGATTATAATTATTTTTAATAGAAACATATGTTTTACAGTTTTAGTTTATCAAGTTCCATTGAGAGAGGGGTGTGATCCATTTATGGTCCTATTAGTCTATGTGATTACTGTGCTTTTGGTACAACACAAAGTTCTTGCGCTTATGTGTTACATTTTGTTGAGAATTTGTTTTGAATTTTTTAGTCCCACATATGAAATTTTATTACTCCTGTCTTTATCTATACATTGTTGGATTCTTTATATCAAGCAAATGGGTGAAGAAAATAAAAGGATCAAGAGAAAGAAAATTAAATTTCATAAAACTTTATTTTCAAAAAATTTATTATGGATCAAGGTAATGATTTTTTTTAATAAAAAATTACGAAAATTATCTTGTTTTAAAACTTTGAAAATTAAGATTATGCAAAATTAAAATTCAATTTGAATAATTAAGAAAATCTATTGTTGTTTTCAATTTCTCCACTTCAATTTTTTTCTTGCTCACTTGCCGATATCTCATTTTGGTATCAAGAAAAAAAAAATCAATACAAGTACTACGATTGAACTATCAAAACAAGTACCACTTGCAAAGTCCTCTTCCAAAATTCTCCCTAAACTTCAGAAAATCAAGTGGAAATTTTCAAAAATGAAATGTTACGTCCATTTCATAAAAAAAAAAAATCATTATTTAGATTGTAATGTATACAACCAAAATCATAAGGATGCAAAACTGATTTTATCCATAGAAATAAAAACAAAATATCGATAATAATGTATAAAAAAACATTGATAATAACAATTCAGTTAGTATAATCACTAACCCAAAATTATTGTGTGAAAATTAGAACATCATATTTTAATTAAAGAGATTTGACATATCTATTTGAGTAGTCGTTGCGAATTCGTAGAAGCAAAACAATTTATAGAGTGGCTAGTTCTTTCTATTCGCTCTTCTCTTATCGATAACATTTAATAGGCAGTTACTGTATCTTATAAAAGTGAATAGGGGACCTTAGTCTAATTAATTAATAACCCTATCAGCTTCCCCATCAAAGGTTTACTGGACCAAAAGCCTACATAATTGCCAAATCACACTATTCTATAAGATATGCAAAGCTCATATTTAGGTGATCACATTCAATTAATTAGGTTCTTATGCTCGTCTCATATTAAGACTATATTCATCAGCTAGTTTTATTAAATTATTAAAATTACTAATTAATAATAGCTCACTTATGAAAAATTTTGATATTCTCCCACTTAAACGATATTAATTAGATTGTTCAATTTTAAAAAACTTGACTTGAAAACAAGACTCTAGGTGGATTTACTTTACTTTGATGTGGTTATAATTTTAAAAATCAATTTAACCCTTGAGACAATTTTTCATTAATTTTATTTTAATTAAAAATAAAATTAATAAAAAATTAAATCAATTAAAAATATGAATATGAAATAATATAATTTTTTATAATTTTATGAATGGTTGAATAGTAAAATAAAAATGTAAAAAAAAATTATTAGCACTTAAATTTTGGTTTACAACTTTGTTTAAAAACTTAAATGAGTTTTAAGCCAGTAGGAAAGTGTTCAACTTTTACATTTAAGTTCTAACATTTTTATCCAAAATTTATTTAAAGAACTCTGCCAAAGTTTTGATTAATATATTTGAAATATTGAAATTTTAATTGACTCATTTTCTCTATTCTCTAAATATTATTCATATTCTGATTGCTCGAGGATAAATTAATGTCGGGGCCTGTGAATTAGATTTTTTTTTTTTTGTCTGTTTTCTAAGGTACTCCTTATGGTGTCATATGTTTTTTAATTTGTTCCTTGTTCTACTAACATATGGAAAGTAATTTGAATTCATTTTTTTAAAAAGGAAAAAAAAGGCAAAACTTTAATCAGAACTGGATTTGGAATGCGAGTAAGAGCGTAAGAATGAGACTAAGAAATACGAGATCGATGAAGTAGGATATCATTACTCATAATTCAATGCCTCTGCTGTATTTCAGATAAGATATGCAAACTTTATGTCCTTTTCACATCAAAATATGGCATTGACTTGGTTAAAGCAGTGAATGCCAATCCAAAAGCTATTTGCTGCTTTCAGTCAATTTTTTCATATTTAAAAAACTAACTACCAAAAAGCAAATAAAACATTATAAGAACCCAAAATTTTTCTTCGTTTGTAGCTTTAGCTATAACGGGACCATGCCAACCCAAAACACTACATCCAAATAAATGCAAAAAGCAAATGAAACATTGTAACAACCCAAAATTTTTCTTCGTTTGTAGCTTAGCTATAACGGGACCATGCCAACCCAAAACACTACATCCAAATAAGTGCACATAGTTTTATCCATAATAGGCCGGCTGTCAAAGACTCCATTGTCCCTCTCAACCTTTTTATATTTGCGAAATTATTTAATCCGGACTAAATAAAGTATTCGGATTTTGTAAGTGAGGTTAGTAAAGTTCAAATGATATTTCAAAATCCCTGTCCAAGGTTTGGCTTGGCTTGGGAAGCCTAAAATTTTTTTAAAAATATTGAAATATTAAAATATATAAAAAAATATTTTTAATATTTTAAAATATACTTTAAAAATAAATTAATATTTAAATCTTTTAAATTAACATATTTAATAACTATATTAATATACTAAAATTAATTAAATAATAATTCGAATTGGATTGGATTAAACTAAAACTTAAAAATTCTTATACATAATTGTGTTGAAATAAAATTGAACCCAACAAATCAAACAAACCCAATCCTTTAACAAATCTACTAACTACTTTCAATCAATATTTTCACATTTAAGAAACCAGTTAGCAAAAGGCAAATAAAACATAGTACAATCCAATGTTTAGCTTCATTTATAACTTTGGCAACTATAATCGAGCAAGAAGAGGAAAATAAGGCGCAGGTAAGGGCCATGGCCCCCCAAAACTTTTTTTTTTACCTCATTATATTATAGAAATTTGGTTCATCTAACAATAATTTTGATTAAAGATGTCAAATATATCCGAATTTGTTAAGTTTCAATTCGATTAGAGTTTATAAAATTGATTTTTTTTTTAAAATTGGATTTCATATCGGATCAGATTTTTATTGTAAGTCTAGGTTGGGTCAAAATTGAGTTTTAGGTAAATCAGTTTCGATCTGAATTGATATATATTTTATTAGTTATTTAATTTTATATTTATATATATATATGTATTATATTAATAAAATTATTAATTTTTACTTTAATTTAAGATATGAATTTAATAAAAATGTTATTTTTTGTATAATTAAGATGTAAAATGATATTTTATAAATATTATATTAAATTAAAATTATTAAATTAATTTAGATCGAATCAATTATAATTATATATATATACAAATTAAATCGAATTGAGCATAAAAAAATATTTTTTATCAAATTGAATTGAAATAAAAAATTGAATTAAAATCGAAGCGAATAAAAATCTTCATCCGTTACCATTGTTAGTCTCAACTCCTTTTCTCATTTACTTCATTGTTTGGCACTTCTTAACCTGATATACGGCTTCGTCCCATCGCACAAGTGACAGGTCAATCAAAACACTATTTGCAAACAGGATGAACATAGGACACACAACCACCCAAATTTCTGTACAATTTTGTATTAAATGTTAATGTCTTATTTAAGATTCATATTTAATGTATGGTTGATGCATGAATCATATGCATTCATTAATAAGAATGTCATATCATGCAAATGTCATATATGTAGGAAATGTCCTCACTTAAATTTATGTTTAATGTGTTATCTATGCATTGACAAGAATTGATAAAATAATAAACTTCAAGCAATGTCATATAAAGGCCAATGAGCACACAAGAATGCATTTGTAAATATCTTTCATACTTAAATTCATATTTAATGTATCATCTTTACATGACAAAAATTGTAAAATAATCTCAATTTCAAATATGTTGTATATGTAAGTATCTGTCACACTTAAATTTATATTTTATGTATCGTTTATTTGTTGGGGATCCAGAATTTTGAGTTAGGAAGCGGGGTGGGGGGAATTAAAATTAAGGCAACAACATCCAAAATCGAGTTAATATTGCTACGATAACATGGTCATGGTATGGTGATAAGAAAGTTACTAAATTTATAATGTATAAAGGACATACTAAAAATATACACTAGGTTGCACATATACTATGTTTATATTTTTATATGCAGAAATACATAAAATGTAATAGAATAAAATGAATAGAAAATAGTATATAATTGCTTTTATTTATATTATGTTCTAAATATTTTAAGAATTATCTATATTATTTTTTATTAACTGTCGTAATGATTTTGTCTGAAACTTTGAAAAATGAACTCCACCATTTCTGTCGCTACCTCCGATGCCGTCAACTGTGGCTTTTCTAAGCTTTGTTTCTTCCTCAATTCCCTCCTCTCTCAATACCTGAATAAAACTTTCCTAAAATTTTTCGGAACCTGAAAATTGCCTCAAACTCGAAAACCCTTCTCTTTTTTGTTGTTTCTTTTTTCTTTTTTGTAGGTTTTTTGTGTTGTGAGTGTTGGCTGAATTTTCCCTTAGATTGATAGTACCTATGGAAGCGATGATCTGAATGACCAGGTGTTGGGATTTGGTGTTGATGATGAGTGGTCAAAGGGGTTGGGATTTTTGGCTGAGGGTTCGGGTGCAGTGATAGTCTTCGCATACCCAAATATGATGGTGCACGGTCGTAGATATGGCTAGATATTGAATATATTACCAAAATACATTTTTTTAAAGGTGTTTATTTAGTGTTTTTTATAAAGTAATCGATAAAAATACATATAATTTGCATTTGTGTTAAATAAATAAAGTTTAAAAATATAGAAATAGACTTTGAAATGAAACTAGCAAGAATAACTGGCAGTCAATTGCATCTTTCGCATTGTTTAAAATTTTGTTCAGGACAATCAAATGCCTTGAGGTTGACAGTAGAATGCTCAGAAAGATTACATGTTTTGTGAGAAATTTTGCTTTGTGAGAATATTTATTTGTGACATTTGAATATCATGGTTTTAGCTTTTGAATTCAATTGTTAAAAATAAAAAAAAAAATTATTCCTTGGATATGATATTTTATTTCAAAAGTGATGATTTTTTTACCTAAATAATATATATTTATAAAAAAAATTTTAAACACCAATTGAGACTTATATATCTATTTATCTATTACACTACTTTATGTGATAATAGAAAGATAAATATGTGTTTATGTGATTGAATGTTTAGTTGCATGTTAATGGTTTTAATAATTGTTTTTAACAATAATGTGGACTGAAGTTTTTCAAGAAAGTATATATCTTTATTGGATTATCATTGATAGATTTAATTTTCAAATTTTTAATTTGTTTTTAATCATTAACATTTATAATGTTATTATTTTGATCACGCATCCACTAAAAAATAATTAGATTAGGATTTATTCCATGTCATTGTACTTTGTTCGAATGGTATATTCATGTCATAGATGACCAAAACATTATTTTTCAAAGTTAGATGAATAAAACAAAAATTTTGAAAAGTTAAATTATAAAAAAAAGGTAATTTACTCTAAGTTCTATAGTTAAATATAAGTTGCATTCAATTAAATTAATAATGAAGATTTTCATTTTGAAGTCTTGGTTGTCTCCTCTATTTTTTAAAAAATGAGTTTTAATTTTTTATTTGTTACCAAACCATTTAAATAATCGTATATTTGGTAGACATTATAAACCAAGTTTTACAAATTCTTTTTTAGCTAAAAACTTATTTAAAAATTATTGATCATGTATTGTGGTTAAAAAAATTCACATAAATATCATGTAATTAAAAAATATTTACAAAATTCGATAAACATGTCACATTATTAAACTTAACATCAATTATCATTTTCAATGATCATGTCACTGTCATAAATTAGAAATTCTGTTAGTGATTGGATTTAATTTTACAATTTATAAAAGTTGAGGGATTCAGTTTGTAAAAATAAATTTATAGCATTAAATCCTCCTCCTCACCTAAGTACAAGAGCCAATAGTATAATTTGAGCTTTTATTTATTTAGCACTATTAGTATTTAATGCAGGAAAAGCATGATTTATTTTGTCTCATGTAAAATGTTCCGTTCCTAGTCACTTGATAAACGTCGAGATTCAAAGATTTCTCTTCGACTGAAAAGGAAGAACACCTATACTTGTGTATATATATATACATTATACTTGTTTATATATAGACAATAATTTTTTGGTGAAAAAATTAATCCTATCTTTACAAACTGTATTGGTGATTTTTATGGAAAACGTGCTTTTAGCTGCCTACCAGGATGATGGTTCATTGGACAATCATATATACAGCAGCACCTTTTATCTTTTGATCGAAATTTACAATGCCCTTAAGATTCTAAGTATTAAGTAGTAATACCATAATTTTTGTGGTTGTTCGAATGCTGGCCAAGAACCAAATATTACAAACAAGAACTCATATCAGAGCAACTAGGCCTAGGAGAGAAAATGAGAATATTCAGGATTTGATTCCGTTTCTAACTAGTCAGTTTGACTTTTGTTTACATGAAAATGAGATCGAACAAATGCCACCGAGGTCGGATTCATACGCGCTATCGACGCTCCATCATTTGGGAAAAAGAAAGATCCAGCAAACGATGACTTGGAAGATGATGATGATGATTTGGAGCCTGGGTCCGAGGAAGGGTTTTTCTAAGAGGCCCCCAAGAACATTCGTCTAGGAAATGAAAAAGCCTATACTCAATTAATTTCAATAGGCCCTCTTCATTACAGAAAAACAATTTTGGCTAAAATGGCAAAGTATAAATTGAGCTATCAAAAGAAATTTTGTGAAGGACTTCGACTACGACATTGGAAGATTTTTGGAACTTCGTTGGAGACAAGGACAAAGCAATTCTCAACTGTTATGAAGCATCATCCATCATTGGCGATGACATTGCAGTGATGAAATTTTATGATGCACTCTTTATCGTGGAGCTCTTATTGAGGAACTATGAGAAGGGAAATGCAAAAGAGTTGGGAATTAAAGAGTTCTTATTAAAAGGAACGTGGTCAGCTGGTCTTCGGAGGGACTTGCTCTTACTTGAAAAACAGATCCCCTTGTTTGTGCTTGGAGAACTGTATAAGTTATACTGTCACTTCCCTCGTGAAGACAAATTTGATTCTTGTGCTGCCCCTGCCTCTGCTTTTCCCTTTCTTTATCATGCTGGCCTCTACTTTGATATTCCATGGGATAAAAGGTTCGAGGATACAGAATTCCTACACTTCACCGGTTTGTTAAGATGCCATCTGGTCAAAAATTACGCCTCAAATTCGGATCCATCCATGGCCCCAAAAGGAAAATTTTAAACAGTGTACAGTGCGACAATGTTGCATGACGCTGGTTGAGCTTAAAGCTGTGCAGACTGGCTAGATATAGAATTTGAAGGGAAAGAGCTTAAAATCCCCAAATTGAATGTGCAGTCCAACACTGAACCTTACATTCGCAACGTGATGGTCCGGAAGACGCTTGATATCTTTCGTGTCAGTGGGACAGTACTTTTCAGACCACATCTCTGGTCCTTGCGCCTCTTTCATGTACAGCTCAAAGAGCACAAAGAAAGGAAGCTGGTTTTCGAACAGTAACAAATCATATCGAATGTCAGTTTGAATACGTCCCAATTAGCAAAAATCCTCTTGTGGGTACTTCCCCAGGATTAGCTGAACAATAAAGCATCCACCATGGACCAGTCTTTCGGCAAAAATATCAGAGTCGATGCAAGTTTGGTGATCTTTATAGCATTTGTTAACTCGTTTTGTGATTGATTTCATGGCCATTACAAATACGCGTGGATCAAGCTTGGTTTTCTCAATATGCCTTCAGAAGAAATTCCTTTTGACAACTTCCATTGCCTGCGAGTGTTCCGTATAATGAAAACAGCCATAAGACCAATAGGAATCACATTTGGTTCAAAGGCTTTCGCATTTACTTCACGTAGTTGACTAGGCACTCTACTAATACTCCAACTACTGGCGTCTATAATTTCAGTACGTAATCCACTTATGTTCGGCTGTTAAAAAGGTGGCACATGCAGTGAATTTTAATCAGCAATAATGTTATAAAATGCATTTTTGAAGATTTGATATTGTTAAAATAATTATATTAAAATTTAAGTAAACAAAAAGCATTTTTTTCTTGAAAATAAATCATATAATTTATTGTCTAAATAATCATATAAGAATATAAAGTTTGAAAAACTATTTTCTTAATTCACATAAAATGCAGTGGAAATTAATCAGCATGCATTAAATTTTTCTTTATGCATAAAGTGGTAGGTTATAAATGGCAATCAGTAGATTATAAGTAACACGAAGAGCTTTTGGGCATAAATAGATAAAGAAGTGGAGAACTTGAATCAGAAAAGAAACACATTAATCAGCCATGTTTTGAATCAAGCACAAACAACTCCATCATTTACTTAAAATCTATTCCTACACTTTTATAACTTTTATAGGCTTCTAATTGCATCAAATCAA